TCGAGCCTATCGGACCTATTTCATGGCAGTCGAGCAAACAGGAATTAATCGCTCTCTCCTCAGCTGAAGCTGAATATATCGCACTCTGCTCAGCCACCAAGGAAGGACTGTACCTTCGTGAACTTCTGGAGGAAGCAAAGCTGGCCCAGTTACCCAGCTTCTCCCTATTCTGCGACAACCAGTCGGCAATCCGCACAGCCAACAAAAATGGATTCGCGAACAGGACGAAGCATATCGCCCTGCGATATTTCATCGTAAAGGACGAGATCGAGAAGGGGAGACTTGAGCTGTCTTACTGCCCCACATCCGAGATGGCAGCTGATTACTTGACCAAGAAGCTCGGAAAGTCGAAGTTCGAATATTGCATGCTGCTGACTGGACAAAGCCACGTCACCAGCAGTGACACTCCAGAAGCGAAGGGGAGTGTTGGAAACAACTGATCTAAGCGCCTCTGTCGTGTCGAAACACCAAGACAGAAACGAAACAGATCATATCGAAACATCGGCGAGTCAACCCTCGGAGGTTGAACAACTGCTGGAGGTTTACGCGAAAGTCAAAGATCAGCGACCTTTGACCTGACAAATACAGCGCGACAGCAAGGACAAACAACTGACTCGCTACTAAGCAGTTGCCCGAGTCGACACTGTATTGAGGCACTCTGTGCGCATACAATTCCAACTTTCGGAGTTCAGGCTCGGTCCGACGACCCCGCCTTTCGAACGTCCCTTGCGTCGCCTTCGGGTTTCCCAACCCCAAACCTGCACCCAACCATCTCGCGACTCCGCGACCTCGGCCTAGCTAGCATTGCTATATTAGTCCTAGGCCTAGTTGCTTGTTCAGTAATTGTAATCACTTCCGCGGTATTGCATTCTGCGCACTCTTCTCTCGTACAACTGGTAACAAAGGATTTCAGTCTCAACCAGTCCCAGTGCTTACTAAGTTTCTAACCATCGTGCAGTAAGTGTGGATATGTAGCGTTTAGTTGAAACAGTCTGTCATACAGACGCCAAGGGTAGGGGGACCAACTGTATACTGTAAGCGACATTTTGTTGAAATCTGGCACTCAAGCTCAAACATTTAGCAGAACCTCATCAACCCATCAGCAGCCACGTGGGCCAGTCAACATGGTCTGGTGGCTCCCATACTCCTCGAGTCGCAGGCGAAGGTGATTCGTTATAGAAAGAATTTAGGTCCACTACAGCACAGCTCGCAACGTCCCTCCATCCAACCTTTTCAGCTTTCCCAAATTCCCACGTCCCCCCCCCCTCCCTCAACCTGCTAATTTCCGAAGTCGGCGTCGCAAGAAGTGCCTCCATTGGCTTTATTTTGGCGATTCAGGCCCTCCACAACATCCCTCGCGTGCATTTTCGGTCTCTGTATTGCTATCGGCGCAATCCTGCTTCTTTTATTCTAGCCTACTACCACTAGCGGATATTCTGTACTTCGATAGACTGCGTCGCCGCTAAACCTGTCCACCACCCTCCAGCCCCAGTCCGAGTATTTTTATCCGCTCCGCACACAAAATGGATACCTCGCGATTGTATAGATTATACGACTTAGCGATCGCTCTATTATTAGCACAGGCTATCCTCGTTACAGGGATCCACGCCGACTCAACAGACGTCGGCGCGGACTCATTACAGGAATACGACGCGGAAGCGGCTTATGCGACGATGGCAGCGAGAATACGGGAGAAGGGGCTCACATTGTTTGTCTCCAACATGGAACGATCTCGTAAGCGTCGAAGCGCGGCGATCGCTTTGCAGAACAGGAAAGATTTGCAAACATTTGCATCAAATCTATGGGTCTGTTGGCCATTCTCATTGCACACATACTGCTAAAGGGAGAGGAAACGATTGTTTTAGGGTTCCCTCCATGCAATCACAGAATCTCTCGCAAAAGCCACAATCTCTCGTCTCCTCCCCCCCTCTTTCCCCCACTTCCCACCCATGCGTTTCCTCCATGCCTATGCTTGTGTTCCTCTCGTGCTCAGAATTCAACATCACGCTATCGTTTCTCCTATCGCGGATGCGCATAACGCTCCTCGCGCCCATCAACGGCGCCTTCACCTCCCTGCCACCCGTCACGCGCCGCTACCTCACGCGCCGCGCCAGCGTCATGCACCGCGTGCTCGCCTTCCACACTCTCGGCCGAAAGCTCTCTGCAGCTCAGCTGGCTCAGCTGGCTCAGCCGGCAGGATCATTGGTGCGTGCATGCAGTGCGTCCTCTGACTGGTAGTGTGCCTCTGTTTTTTTATCTGGCCGGCACGCAGCTTCATGTACTGCGTGCCCCGAGGCACGCTGTGCTGTTTGGATGTTGTGGTTGTGGGAACCCTGGAGATGTGATTGAGTAAGCATCGCGCCAGCGGCATTTCTGATTAGGAACGCAATTTACTAGGGTTTGGACCTTTGTGATCCTTCAGTCCTCTCTCTCGCTTGTTCCAACCCCCTATCTCCACAACTACGTCTGCCACTCCCTCCCGCTTCCCCTCCCCCAGCCACTCCCTCTCTTTCCATCGCCCCTCCCCAAGCTCCTCCCTCTCTATCTTTCTAAACCTCCCAGCTCCCCCTCTCCTCCCCACTTCCTCAGGTGCCCATGCAGTTCACAACAGGGTTTGAGGAGATGGAGATGGAGAAGGTAGAAGGGGAGGGTATCGTGCTGGGAAAGCCAGTGTTAGGAGCGCAGGGGAGTGTACGAGTGGTGCTGCCAGACCTCTACACAGATGCACACATGGTGGTGCATGGAGTGAGTGGAGTCATGGTGCCTGACATTTTACTAGACCTCCAATAATGGGGGATTAAACAGATGGAATAATAAAGCAAATTATTAGGATCGAGAAAAAATCCCCCATATATCTACCCTCAATTTAGTGTATATTCTTACGTGAATTGAATTATGTCATACATGTTTGACAAAAGATAGAGTGTAATGGCAGGTGTGTGTGGTGATTAGTGGAAAGGAAGTAATAAGTATTTATCAACGATTTACGTCTACCTCTGAAACCGACTATATTTTTCTCCACAGTTGAATCAAGACACGGATGAAATGATGACTTGACAAGCGAGTCAATTTGAATTCGTCGTCTGACACCTTCACCTCGTGTTTGACACATGGTTATGGCGGCTCGGGCGATGACATCCACATCCATAGGATCTCGGCAGACATCTGATTGGTGGTAACTTACCATACCATCCACATCATACCACCCCACATAGCTGTGCTCAGCCGTCAGATCATGTGTAACAGTTCTTGCTAGCTCGGATTTTCGCACACGGTGGCTTTTGCCCGCGAACAAGCCGTCAATTCGCCAGGCTGGACCCATTGTGATGTACTTTTGGGGGCTGTCCTGCCCAAACTTCACACCACTTCCTCCGTTCCCCGCCTTCACCACCACAGAACGTCGGCGGACCTACCCGCGGATTCCTGCCATTCAGCGCAACTCGCCAGCAAACTTTGCAGCGGCTTGCGCCTCGGGCTTGCCGAAACGGGGGGAACACCCCCCCTTTCGACTTGGGTGGACACTGGACAGGAGGGCACTTCGCGAGGCGACTCGACTTGCCGCTCTTGCCGTTCAGCTGTTTCCCTTTCGCCTTTCTCTTCCCATCACCCCACCTCACCTTGCATCACCTCAGCCCACCTTTCCCAAATCCAACTCACCTCTCTTGAACTTTTCTCACCTTGATGAAACCCTCTTCATTGTACCGGACCTTGCTTTTCCTTCCCGTCCCAATTCTCGTCGCTAGTCCACCTCCACTGAATCCCTCTCAAGCATTCACCATGTATCTCAGAGAGGAATCTCCTTGCGTTAGCTAGCTCCAATCATCCATGGCTTCCTCGGTTAGCTGTACCGTGGAGGTAGTCTTCGTAGCGTGGACTCTTACCGAAGCGCGTAAGATTTAGGTTAACAAGGAGGAAAGTAGGGAGATGCTTTGTAGCCTTAGTAAGAAGGCTTAGTGTCACAATAAGATGCAACTGGATGACCGTCAGGTGCAGAATGGCGGATTCCTTTCATGTTCGCGTCAAGCGTGATTCACCTCGCTCGTTACGTCAGATCCAAGTTCTTATTAGATTCTCAGCTCATTAATTCAGCAGATTAATCGAATCGTCTTCGGTATCATGCTCGCGAGTCGCGACGTGGGACTCTCAACCACTCGCCGCGACAAACTTAACAACGTGAAGCGACGACAATAATTTTTGCGCACACGACATGATGCGACCCGACACGACCTGATGCGACAATCTTCGTAAAGGTCGCGACGTTCTAGCCAGCATGTCACTCGTGACGTTCAAGGATGAGTTTGCGAGTCGCCTTGTGCGACTTTACGGCTTGCATCGCTCGCGAATGTGCTACGCGCTCACGAGAAGGTTGTCTTAAGCGCCAAATTTAAGTCGAAGTTACGACGAACACCAGTGTCTACTATTACCGTCGACGTGTGCGACGTCACGGCGACGATCAGTTGTTCTCGCAGCGGCATCCAAGGCCACGAAACTTACTTCTACTATTTTCGACGACGCTTGCGACGTTAGAGAATTCGCGTGGACGTCCGAAGATGACGACGACGCTGAGAAGATGCGAAGACGTTCGACGTCTGATGGAGGATCTCGCGACGGAAGAACTCGCGACGTACGACGGCGCGAGACGTACGACGGCGGAGCAGCTCGCCGACACTCAGGGGGCGAAGGAGAAGGAGAACGCTGACGATCGCGATCCATGAATGGGTGAGTTAGCGTTTCCCGTTTTAACTACGAATTCGCGTTTTCTGTTTTAACTCAGTTAAAGTTTTCAGTTTTCAGATTCCTGTTGCGCTCGTGACTATTGTGGCTGGTCTATTCGTTTCGTATCATGGCGTATCTCACTTTTCAAGGAGCAGCAGTCGCGCTCCCTCAATGTAGACGGTCGTTTCCTAGTTTTCTTTCGTTCCGTATCTCATTCCTACATCGCGGAAAGGGGATGCATCAGGGGAGAGGCGCGGATGCATCAGGGGAGATGCGCCGATGCATCAGGGGAGAGGCACGGATGCATCAGGGGAGAGGCGCGGATGCATCAGGGGAGAGGCGCGGATGCACCAGGGGGGAGGCGCGGATGCATCAGGGGAGCGGCGCGGATGCATCAGGGGAGCGGCGCGGATGCTGACTGCGTTTGAGCATGGAGGCATGGAGCATGGCAACGGGAATCAACAACCGGCTAAGTTCCCTCTCCCTGACTCTCTGCTTATTTCGATTTCCATGCTCCCTCCTCCCCTTCCTCCTCCTCCTCCTCCTCCTCCTCCTTCTCCTCCTCCCTCCTCCTCCTCCCCTTCTCCTTCTCCCTCTCATCCTCGTTGCTGGTTGAGGTGAACCACACGGGTTACAGGCGCTTACCCCTTCGGTACTTCGGGCAACGGCCCCAGTGTAAGTGCATCCGGTAGCGGGGAATCTCCCCAGCACTCCCCCACCCCCCCATCTTCACCGGCAAAGACCAAGCGTAAGTAACTTGAGACATGACAAAAAACTCCCCTTGCGTCTGTGGCTTGTGGGTGTAACCCCACCAGTAGCGGCCCTCTCTCCTCCTCCTCCTCCTCCTCCTCCTCCTCCTCCTCCTCCTCCTCCTCCTCCTCCTCCTCCTCCTCCTCCTCCTCCTCCTCCTCCTCCTTTCCTCCCTCCTCATTCTCGGATTGTGTCATTGTATGTCGTTCTTCTCCTTGCATTGTGTCATCTGTTTTCTCTCTCTCAGCTTGTAACCTCTACCCAGTTACTAACCTTCACTGTGAGGTTGCACCTTGCGGTTCCTTGTGCAGGCACGGTGACGCGTTGCTGGGGAGACGGAGAAGAAGCGACAGGAGAAGCATCTGCAGCGGCAGTGGCAGAGCAGCAGCGACTGGAGCAGCAGCGGCAGCGGCAGCATCGACAGGAGCAGCAGCGACTGGAGCAGCAGCGGCAGCGGCAGCAGCGACATGAGCAGCAGTGACTGGAGAAGCAGCGACAGGAGCAGCAGCGACTGGAGCAGCAGCGACAGGAGCAGCAGCAACTGGAGAAACAAGTGAGTAACTGGAGCCATGACTGAACACCCCCGCTTGCTTCCTTCTGCTCTCCCTCCCGTCTCGCTCCTCATTCGCGTTTTCATCTGCCTTGGTTGCTTCTATGGCTTTCATGTTCTTCCTCGTTTTCCGCTGTCTTTTTTCATCCCAGTGTCGCCATGCGCCTTCCCCCTCCCACCCCTCCCCAGCCATTCACTTGTCGCTCTGCTGTGCTAAACTTTCACACTTTTCTGTTGTTCTCTGCTTGTGCTCTTTCTCTTTCTCTCTCTCTCTGCTGCTCACAGACTGATTCTGCTCTCTCTCCCCCGATCTTCCTGGTTGCTCCGCCAGCAGACGGCAGCAGTGGGATGGCGGAAGTGGGATGACGCGCGGCAGGCACCACTTCCGCTGCCCGGCTGATCACTGCTCACCTCCGGAGGAACGGCGACGCGAGGAGGGAGAGGTGCCGCTGCTGGCGAGCGCTCGTGCATTTATTTCGCCATCCACCCTTCGCTTACCCACCGGTCATCCCACCCTGGTAAGTAAATGCAGTTTGGCAGCCCTTCGCAGTTTTTTATTTCTGTTTTTGTCATTTGTGAATAGCCAGGGACTGATGCTGTGCTGTGCCACTTGTGCAGGTCGCCCACGCACTTGAGGCGAGGAGGCAGACCACGGCTAAGGGGCGGTGGGATGACGCACGGCTTGGGCATGCCCTGCTGACCACGGCTGTCCCTGCATGCACCCCCCAGCAGCAGCAGCAGACCTTGGACTTTGGACATTGTGCATTGAGGCTTGGACACTGGGCATTGAGGCTTGGACATTGGGCATTGAGGCTTGGACATTGGGCATTGAGGCTTGGACATTGGGCATTGAGGCTTGGACATTGGGCATTGAGGCTTGGACATTGTGCATTGAGGCTTGGACATTGGGCATTGAGGCTTGGACATTGGGCATTGAGGCTTGGACATTGGGCATTGAGACTTGGAAACTTCAACGCCCACATTCTTGAGAGAAGACCCCACCTTGCTGCAGACTGCAGAAACTTCAACGCCCACATTCTCGGTACGTCTTTTGCTCTGCATATTGATTTCTTTTGATCAATTTCCTGCTGTCTTCGTCGTTTTACTCTCTGCCCAGCAGCTAACCTTCTCTGCAGTGGGCGATGCAACTCTCTGTTCCTTGTGCAGGGTGGGGCGTCAAGGGGTGGTTGGGGAGGCGGAGCAGCAGCTGCAGCGGCTGGCGAGGTGGAGCGGTGTTGCTGTGTTGGAGGCAACTGGAGCAGCAGCAACAGGGGCTGCAGCAACTGGAGTAGCAGAAACAAGTGAGTAACTGGAGCCGTGACTGAACACCCCCGTTCCTTTCTTCTCTCCCCCCTCCCTTCTCCCTCCTCGTTCGCGTTCCTCTGCCTTAATTGTTTTTATGGCTTTGGTGCTCTTAATCTCTTTTTCCGGTGCATTTTCTCCTCTATGCATTTGTTACTTTACAATCTGTCAATTTACTCTGTAATTACCTGTACTCTTATGAACCTTCCCTGTGGGATTGTGAATCTCTGGTCGCCGTGCAGGCAACATTAAGGTGTGGGTGGAAAAGATAGAGCAGCAGAGACAGAAGCAGCATCATCTGTAGGAGTAGAGTGACAGTGGCAGCAGCGACAGGAGAAGCATCGGCACAGGTCGCAGTGGCAGCAGGATGAAAGCGGCAGCAGCTGCAGTGGCTGGCGAGGCAACTGGAGCAGCAATGACTGGAGCAGCAATGACTGGAGCAACATTGACTTGACTGGAGAAACAAGTAAGAAATTGGAGTCATGACAGAACACCTCCGTTCCTATCTTCTCTCCCCCATCCCCTCTCCCTCCGCATTCGCGTTTTCCTCTGTCTTTGTTGTTATTATGGCTTTCCTGTTCTTTCTTGTTCTTTTGCTATCTTTTTTCCTCCTTGCATTCGTTCCTCTTCACTCTGCCAATTCTCTCTGTCAAATCGTAACCTCTACTCTGATTAATCTCCCCTGTGGCATTTCGCAACTCTCTGGTCGCAGAGCAGGGAAAGTTAAGGAGTGGGTGGAAAGACGGAGCAGCAGCGTTGGAGGCGAGAGGTGCTGCTGCGTTGGAGGCAACTGGAGCAGGAGCAACTGGGGCAGCAAGTAAGTAAGTGGAGCATTCTCCTACCCCAGCCTTCTCCCTCCTCATTCGCGTTTCCTCTGCCTTTGTTTTATGGCTTTCGTGTTCTTCGCCGTTTTTCTGCTGTCTTTTTTTCCTCCTTGCATTCCTCTTCTGTCGACTCCTATCCTCCACTCTGATTGACCTTCCTTGTGGGATTGCAACACTCTGGGCGCTGTGCAGGGACATGGAACGTTTAGGCGTGGATGGGAGGACGGAGCAGCAGCGACAAGAGAAGCATCGGCAGCGGTGGCAGTGGCAGCAGGAGGAGAGAAAGGTAGTGGCAGCGGCAGCAGCAGTGGCAGCAGGAGGACAGCAAAGCAGTGGCAGCGGCAGCAGCAGTGGCAACTGCAGCGACAGCAAAGTAGTGGCAGCAATGACGGGAGGAGAGGAGCAGAGGAGTTGGTGGAGGGGGGAAGAGCAGCAGAGTGGAACAGCGGAGCAGAGGAGCAGAGGAGCAGAGAACAGAACAGCTGCGCTTCCCCTCAACGCTGCTGGAGGAGAGAAGGCACGGAGGGGAGAGCTGAGCAGGAGCAAGCTGCGAGTTGTTACTACCTCCCGCTTGCTTCTTCTGCTGATGCTGTGAAGTGATGGGATGACGATCAGTTCTACTTCGTTAGCGCAGCAGTGACACCAGCGGTGGCAGCAGCGGTGGGAGAAGGAGAGAGGTCCGCAATGACACTACAGCTGACAGCAGCAGCGGTTGGCTGCAGTAGAGAAGACCAGCAGTGACACCAGCGGTGGGAGAAGGAGAGAGGTCCGCAATGACACTACAGCTGACAGCAGCAGCGGCTGGCTGCAGTAGAGAAGACCAGCAGTGACACCAGCGGTGGCAGCAGCGGTGGGAGAAGGAGAGAGGTCCGCAATGACACTACAGCTGACAGCAGCAGTGGCTGGCAGCAGAAGAGAAGACCTGCAGTGACACCAACTGTGGCAGCAGCGGTGGGAGAAGGAGAGAGGTCTGCAATAACACTAAAGCTGACATCAGCAGTGGCAGCAGAAGCGAAGACCAGCAGTGACACCAGCGGTGGCAGCAGCGGTGGGAGAACGAGAGAGGTCCGCAATGACACTACAGCTGACAGCAGCAGTGGCTGGCAGCAGAAGAGAAGACCAGCAGTGACACCAGCGGTGGCAGCAGCGGTGGGAGAAGGAGAGAGGTCCGCAATGACACTACAGCTTGCAGCAGCAGTGGCTGGCAGCAGGAGAGAAGACCAGCAGTGACACCAGCGGTGGCAGCAGCTGTGGGAGCAGCGGTGGCAGCAGAAGGGAAGGCTAGCAGTGGAAGCAGATGCTAGCAGGGATGGCTAGCAGTGGGAGCAGATGCTAGCAGCGAAGGCTAGCAGTGACAGCAGAGGAGAAGAGAAGACCAGCAGTGGGAGCAGACGAGAAGAGAAGACCAGCAGTGGGAGGAGATGAGAAGAGAGGACCAGCAGTGGGAGCAGATGCTAGCAGAGAAGGCTACCAGTGGGAACAGATGGTGCTCAAAGCTCAAAACTCTGCTAATGGTGAGTTTTGAGAGACGTATCAAAACTCATGCCCCTCCTTCCTCACTGCGGATTCGCTGCAGTGAGCAAAACGTTCGTCTCAAAACTCACACTTGATGTGGCTGGGGTTGTTGTTCTTGCTTTCTCCTGTTGGGCACTTCAAGTGAGGCGCTTTGACCCCCTGGGGGGCAGAGGATCAACACAAGAGGAGCAGCGGAAGGTGGAGCGGCGCCATCAAGTGAGGCGCTTTGACCCCCTGGGGGGCAGAGGATCAACACAAGAGGAGCAGCGGGAGGTGGAGTGGCGCCTTCAAGTGAGGCGCTTTGACCCCCTGGGGGGCAGAGGATCAACACAAGAGGAGCAGCGGGAGGTGGAGTGGCGCCTTCAAGTGAGGCGCTTTGACCCCCTGGGGGGCAAAGGATCAACACAAGAGGAGCAGCGGGAGGTGGAGCGGCGCCTTCAAGTGAGGCGCTTTGACCCCCTGGGGGGCAAAGGATCAACACAAGAGGAGCAGCGGGAGGTGGAGCGGCGCCTTCAAGTGAGGCGCTTTGACCCTCTGGGGGGCAAAGGATCAACGCAAGAGGAGCAGCGGGAGGTGGAGCGGCGCCTTCAAGTGAGGCGCTTTGACCCCCTGGGGGGCAAAGGATCAACACAAGAGGAGCAGCGGGAGGTGGAGCGGCGCCTTCAAGTGAGGCGCTTTGACCCCCTGGGGGGCAAAGGATCAACACAAGAGGAGCAGCGGGAGGTGGAGCGGCGCCTTCAAGTGAGGCGCCTACTTGGTCCACTGGGGGGCAAAGGATAATTTCTGTGCCGCCCCTCTTCTAGGTACAGCAAGGCGGGAGCAACAGGGGGACGCACCAGCTGGGAGCAAAGGATTAAATTTGTGCCGCCCCTCTTCTAGGTACAGCAAGAACGGGGGAGGCAACACCAAGGCGGGAGCAACACGGGGACACAGCAGCTAGGACCCGTTGTAAGCTGCAGTCTTTTGCTTTCTTGTTTTGTCTCTAGCCTAATGTTGTAATGTGTGTTTCTTCTTGTCTTAGCTGTCACCA